ATGATTCCTCTGTAGAACTGTATCAGCAGCTCCTGGGGCAGGTTGAACTTCCTGAGCTGGTGCAGGAAGTACATCCTCTGCTGTGCCTTCTTGGTGATGGTCCTGATGTTGGACGTCCACTTCAGGTCCTGGGAGATAGTGGAGCCCAGGAACTTGTAGGACTTTACTGCTGATACAGTTCTGCCACGTGTGGTAAGTGGGGGCAAGGTGGGAGGGCTCTTCCTGAAGTCCACTGTCATCTCCACTGTTATGAGCGTGTTCAACTCCAGGTTGTTGTGACTACACCACAGGACCAGCTGCTCAACCTCCCGTCTGTAGGCTGACTCGTCACCGTCTCGGATGAGACCAATGACTGTTGTACCATCAGCAAACTTTAGGAGATTGACAGAGGGGTCCTTCAAGATGCAGTCGTTGGTGTAGAGTGAAAACAGCAGAGGGGAAAGCACACATCCCTGGGGGACACCTGTGCTTATTGTCCGAGTGCAGGATGTGGTTTTCCCCAGTTTCACCTGCTGCTTCCTGTCTGTCAGAAAGCTAGTAATTCACTGAGAGGTGGGGGCAGGCACAGTGAGCTGGGTCAGTTTGGACCCTATAGCCAGTGATGCTTTTCAGGCTCCCCCACACAGATCAGGGGTCATTGGCTGAAACCTGAGCTTTCAGCTTTCCAGAGTAGCTCCTCTTTGCTGCTCTGATCTCCCTTGTCTGTGTGTTCCTGGCCTGGCTGTACAGAGTCCTGTCCCCACACCTGTAAGCCTTCTCTTTGGCATGATAAGAACATAATGCAAGAAGGAGCAATGAAAACAGAATTGCTGAATAACGCATATATCCAAATAAGAATCAAAATCATCTTTAATTGCCAAATATGCATGTTTGAACATACAAGAATTTGACTCCAGTACAGAAGCTCTCAATGTGTTGTAAGGCAACAGGGACAGAAAGTAACAATGAGAATAAAAATAAAAAGTAGGGCAAGAAAAAAATACTCTATACTGTCATTCACACAAGAGCCAGAAGTCCCTGAGTTGAAAAAATAAACATAAGCACTGAGAGCAGCTTATGAAGATTACCGTAATGGGGATCATGTTACTGCCAAGATAAGCAGTTGCAAGAAAAAGTAATGGCACTGTTTGCAATTTCTTGGTTTTCTGCATAAATTGGTCATGAAATGTGGTCTGATCTTCACCACAGTCATAAATTTTAAACAATATTTCTAAGCTGATAAGACATAAAAAACAGTCATGATCATTCATGTCATGTCAGAGCTGCTGTGGAATGACCTCAAGAGAGCCTTCACATCAGACGACATAAGAATATGGCTAAGCTAAAGCAGCTCTGTGAGGAAGACTGGCCCAAAATTCCTTCTGCACGTTGTGCAGGTCTAGTCCACATGTACAGGAAACACTTGCTCAAGGTTATTGCTGCCAAAGGTGGTTCAACCAGTTATTAAAGCACTGTTTCCATGATGTTTCCCAACATCACTTTGTATGTTTAATTGGTGCGTTTAATAAAGTCCTGAAAGATCAGTATTGTTTGTTTGTTTGTGTGACTATGGTGAAGATCAGATCACATTTCATGACAAAATGCAGCAGAAAAGCAGGAAAATGCAAATAACATTTTCTTGCAACTATATCTGAGTCCAATCCTCTGACTCTTCAGACTGAGGATCAGGGTCAGCAAAGACTCTGAGGTTGTTTGGGGCAGCAACACTGGTTTGGAGGGAATGATGAGCTAAGCAAACATCCCTGGTAGCTGTGGCTCTCTCTCTCCCTCTCTCACACACACACACACACACACTTATAAACAAACACACAGAGACATAAACATACCAGGAGCTGCTGTTCATACATAAACACATGGTTCTTGGCAATGTCTACACGGTTCCATGCCAGAGTCAGGACCAGCTGTTCGAAAGCAGATGCATTCGTACCTGAAATACACACAAATGGATATTAATTCCCACACAAGTAAAGACTTGTTTCCTGTTAGCCAGCTAGCAGGACAAGAGGAGCCTGTTATAGAGCAGTAAGAAATGCTGAGGTGAATGTCTAGTAATGTCCAACTTTTGCACAGAGAAGGAGGGATAAGCCTGAGAGACATCCAGCTCAGTGACTGACAGTACTGGAGTAAGAAGACCCTGTGAATGTCAGCAACATAATCGCAAGAACACCAAGAGAAGGGCACATGGGGGACTCTGTTCTCAAAGCATATCCATATCACATTGAAAACATTACAGCCTTGAAATCTCAACCTCTCAGTACCAACAACCTTAGGCTATGAACAAACTGCATCAACGTCACGTGACTTTTACTCCGAGTTTCTCGATTAAAGAATCTGGGTGGGGGGAAGGTTCAGAGAGACGTCCTCTACTAACCTTGGAGTAAAGCCCTCAGAATGGCTACGTCAATGTCCTGATGCTCCTCGGAGCTGATGTGAAACACAGTGATCTGTTTTCCAAGAAACAAATTTGTTATCTTGTTCTTAAAGACATTATCCAGAGGTTCAAAGAGTCTGTAAAAACAGTCCCATCAGCAGCTGATGTGAGTGATGTCAGTAGTTGCATCTGCAATCACTGTCTCACTGAAATTATATAATTTGCATATGATTGATAAAAGGGTTTTAAAAAGCAACTAAAATATGCGATTAAAAAGTGAATGTGCATGACTGTACCAGTTCTTTACTCTTCATGCACTCCATCAGAGTCTGAAAGAGATGAATGGCATCATTCTGGCTGAAGTTGAAGGTTTTCTTGATGGTTGCGATGATGTCGGTCTCCACTCCATCAGGAAGACCGCTGCAGCAGAAGTACAGTACAACACAGTTACAGTCACACTGCTCACATACACACGGTTATAAAATGCTCAATAGGTGCTTTATAATGGTTTAAACTCTGGCACGTGTCCTGTATAAAAGTCCTTCAGTAACTCCTCAATGATTACTCTGAAGTTTGTCTGTGTAACAACATTACAACCTAAATGTTCTGTACACATCATGTTTTGTGTTGTTGTTGACAGTGGTTTCATCTTTGTGGTAATTCTGACAAGACAAAGTCATAAACATAAAGCAGAAAAGTAACACAGATCAAATAATCGCTTTCCTCTGAGGGAGGCATAAAAAAACAACACTAAAAGGGTAACAGGAAAGATTTATCTTTACCACACCAGCCACAACACTCATTTTCTTTCCCCGCCCACCCCTGTCCACCGTGGTTATTTGTATTTGTCCTACCCTCCCTCCTCGGTCTGCTTGTGGACGTAGGCCAGTATGTCAGCGGCCCGGCCGGTCCCCTCGCACACCACCACTGGGACAGGAGGGTTTTCCTGAAGGTACTCCAGCACAGTCAGGATCACATTGGGACCCCCCTCTAAGATCAGGGCCACAACGGGAACACCCTGACCGATACCTACAACAAAAAGAGATGAAGAGCCTGATTAAACTTCAGGTTTACATGGCAGTATTCCCCACAGCTCCGGTCTCATTCACCTAATACAGCACCACCCAAGTGACAGTTTGTGAGGGGCTGAGATGATAAAGCCCGACTCACTGTTATCACATAGTTCCCACCAGACAAAGACTCTCCATAATGATTACACCCTGGGCTTCACATCTGTCTGAAGGATGTGCCCTGGTATATGTCAACTGAATTACTGTGTACTGTACAACACCACTAAAACTCTATTACATAAAACTTGACTGGTGAAACGTCTTCCCAAAATCCTAATTTGGATTTTTTTTTTTAAATAGACTGAGTATTTTAGAATGAGATTAAGAACATGATATGACTTTTAGAAAGGTGAAGTCTTAAACATCCTAACTGCATCTGACATCATCTGAAGCAACTTACAGTATAATAAACTAGGGGTGTGAAGATACACTTAGCTCACGAGACGAGATGATATTTTAACATTTCTTTTAATCTTCATTGATGAAATACGTGACTGCAAAGTCTTTCGACCGAAAGCCACAAAATTCAAACAATGCAGGTGTATCATATGCAGTAAAAGACAGAACAAGCACTGTAAAATGTTTTGCCACAAACTGACTGGCTTCTCTCCTGTGTGATTTCACCCGAGTCTCTTCAGACCTTTTTACTGTGCATGAACCGAGCATGAGCTTCTAACTTCTAACTGAAGCTGTGTGTGACCTTCTAACTGAATTCCTTTCTACAAATTGAACATAAAAAAAGTGACAGGGGCGTCTTCTATGCTAATTTCCCCCTCACACCCCGTCATGCCGGCTGCTGCTCTGGTTCTCTTATGTATTGATGTCGTGAGACAGCTTTTCATCTCAATGATAAATATCGTCACATCCCTATAATAAACACTAAGGTTATCAGTTATCTGCAGTATTGTGGGATTCAAATCTTGCTAACAAATTATTTTCCATAACATGTGCCTGGGCAAAGTTAATGTGATTAATGGAACGATGATTTTTTTTCCCCCCATAAAATCATGTTCACCTTAAAGTCGGCACAAACTGGTGGCAAGAGAGAAGAAGCCTGTCATCCATATTACTTCAATTTAATGCAATTAACTGAAACACTGTTTGGTGTAAGCTGATCATTGTAACTGTGCTGGAAAATAATGAAAAGATGTTTTTAATTTGCTGTGTGCACAGACATTTTATTTTAAATGAGTCACCCTAAAATTTGCATATATACTACTAAGTAATAACACTCTATAATAATTAATTGTCCTTGCCTCGACTCAACAGTTACGTGAGGAGTCAAACATGTGAGAAGAATTGTTTCCGAGTACTGGTCAATTTTTAACATGTCAGGAAACTTAAAAGTGAAAATATTATGATGAATGCACATCATTAGCAAGTACTTAAGAGAACGCAACACAGAGTTTAAGCCTAGTCTTCCTTGTCAGAAGAGGACACTGTGTTAGCTTTGGTTTCATTCACAGACAAAACTGATCTGAAATGAACAACACAATCTTTGTAATATTTACTTTAAGGCCATCGACAAAGTAACCGCAAAGAATAATCCTTAAGACAAAAATAAACTCAAGCAGGCAAAGGGTTTTTTACGTTAAGGACTTCAGTAATTTAATGGGCCAAGTGTGGGATCAACTAGGAGTCAGTGATGAAGACGCCCAGATACTTTGGTTGTAGAGACAAACAGTGTCACTGCATTATCTCAGAAGATGAGATAGAAGAAGATGAACCCCAACCTGTTTCTGCAGATGTAAAGTGACTGTGTATAGTCACGTTTCTCCAGAATCCAAACAAAAGAAATTGTTGTACTGAGAGAAACCTTTAACTGGCTTTCTTACGTGCATGTATTCTTTGGAGGTTGATGTGCTTCTCCAGGTCCCGCCGCAGTTGGACCTCAGCGCCGTACTTGCCCACCGTCCCGTCGTCCACCAGGAGGAAGTGGGAATGCACGCTGTTAAGAACGTTTAGTTTGCTCAGAGGGTTCAGTAACGTCTGATACGGGGCGACAATCTGCAGTGTGGAAATCAGAAGCCAGGAACAGGGAAGAGGACAGATGAGTGGGGAAAATGGGGAAAAGACTCTGAACCTTAAAACAATCCAAACTATGATTAAACGCTGCTGTCATGAAAAAAGATAATCAATTCCCGATAATCAGTTACAAATGAGACTGTGTGAGCTGTGTCTTACATCTCTGCCGATGAGATCGTTCCTGTTTTCAATGACTCCCCAGGGCGCAATCCCAATAGTGCAAATTTTCTTAGATGATTTTGAACAGTGCTCTTTGAGAGCATCACCCACGTGCTTGGCCGCACCTTTGGAAAGATACAAGAGTCAGTCCATAAAGTTTTATGTAAAAAAACAAACAAACACTGACTGCTTAACTTATCTATTTGGTAGCCTAGACCAATGACCAGTAAAAGTGTGTTAGATACCCTAGATCCCATTAGCCATGTATAAGAAATAGTCAAAACACCAGAGCATCAGTGACCGATATGTGCCAATGGGGAAAGTCCACAATAAGCGTCTTGGAGAGGTTTGTGAACCACATTCTTCAGCTAATGGATCTCATGGATTCAGCAGTAATTTGTGAGCCAGGAGACCATCCCAACCAGCCAGGATGCCACAGAGGCATTAAAAGTAATCACTGGTCTGGGTAACTGACCCTGTGAGTAATGATTTAAACACTATGATCAGACCACACAAACTTAACACCGTTCTGCGGCTGCAGACACACCTGGGCCACGACACACTGCCAAATGACATGCTCATAGCCTGATATTATGACTTCTGCTACATCAGCGCATCATACTGTTTTTGCAGGTTTGTGTACAAAGTAAATGTTGGTGTTCTTTTGGAGTAATCTTAACATTTGTAAAACGAGCAGAGGTGCAAAGTAGAAGTTATTTAGCTGCAATGTACTCAGTTATGCCATTACCAATTTTGTTTTGTACAGGTTTCATTACACCCAGTTTTCTGTGGCACATTTCTTTCCAAAGATCTAAACATTATTTCCTTCATGGTTTGTCCATGATTTGTTTTTGTTTAAACACAGATGCAAAGTTATTGACATGAAGCAGCTAAAACGCAGTGTAGCTGCTATCATCCAACCACAGAGCCGTAGCACAATCACTTTCTGATCTGCAGCTTTAAGCCAATAAGTGCCATCAGTAATGGCAGCATCAGTTTAGATATGAAGATGTAAACAATGCTGAGCAGGTGGGTGTTCTGCACCCATGTATTAAGATGTTGGCAGGATAACTTTGTTACCATTTCCAGATGACCCTGGATTTGTTGGTTCTTCAAAGGTTTCTTGGGGCTTGCCGTCATGGAAACATGTCCATAATCTCAAACCTGCTCCAGAGCACGTTTGTTCACTCGTTTTTTCCATGTAAACAAGATCCCTCTCAGATTTTAGCTGGGTTGAAGCAGGAAGCAACCCACTGACATAAGAGCAACGATAATAAGACACGCGTTTAAAGAAAGTATAGTAGGGTACAGAGAGATCAGCGGGACCCTTTGGTCCATCCCAACCTGTTAATTAAATCAGAAGCCCACCCTTTCAGCCCTGAGGGATAAATTGAATTATTTTTTATAATGAAGTGGATTGTTAGCACCTCATATTAGGGGCTAAACAAAGAAGAGTCTTACCATCACACAGTCAAAAGTGTATTGCATTGTGGCAGTCTTTTTATTATGGTTGGTAATGTGAAAAAATTTAGTCTTACTTGGCTCTGAAAATAATTCCCAAGCTTTCAAAGTCTGCCTTCCGCCTCTGCGCGGAGCGGCAGCTGCCCCGAGCAGCTCTCGCTCTATTTGTTTGTTTTGTTTTTTTTTAGTTTTCTAGGTTTTCTGTGTTGCTTTTTGTGCTATGGCGCTTTCCCGTAAATTTTTTGTGAGTTGGGCTCCTAGGAATACAAGTTTTATTGCGTTTGCATTATGTTTTTATACTTTTTACGAGGTTTTGAGTCTGCCTGGGGAGGTCCCTGTTTGCCAACAGTCGGCAATCAAGACCAGCAATCCTTCCGAGCTCCTTGTGGTGAGCTGTCAGTGATTTTTCATGGGGATGCGAGGTGGTGCGACCGGAGAGGTGGGACTGCGGGGCTGGAGTGAGGCGCTGGGGGAGGAAACGGAGGTATGGGCCATGCTCGCCATCGGTCCGCTCCCCTCTGAGATGAATGGACGAGCTAGCTGAGCTGGCGGAGCTGCAATGGGGGTACAGGAAGAGCAGTCCTCCGTGCTTCAGCGAGAGTCCTGGATCTGTGGTCTGTGGTGACGGTTCTTTACAAATCCCCAGGCCGGCTATGTTGCTATGTGCATGTGCACGCAAAACACGGTGTCTCAGCGGCGGACACAATACCGGCAGGCCCAAATCCCCATCTTGAGGACATTAAACCATGCTTCCCCCCTCTGCCACCCGTCCACACAAAGAGCAATACAACTCTGGGCCTATTGTAGGCTAATGCCTGTTGTTTAGTCTCTGCTGCTGTTCCTGATTCTCTCCAGTGCTGCTTTGCCCTGTTTTTAGTTGCCTTTGATTAGCTTATTTGTGCTGTGTAAAATGTAACCTTCTGATGATGCTACTTTTACAATCCTTGTGCGTATCGGTCCTAATGCTTTGTTGCCTTTATGTCACTTTTTATTTTAAGAATAAGTGTTCTTTGTTACCATGTACCTATGCGCTGCGCAGAGTGGCAGCAAGTTACAGCAGCTGTGTCCTCATTGTGTTCTTTTCCGTGTTTTTATGAAGTTCTGTTCTTATGCGTCTGTTCTTATTATGTTATGTTGGTTGTTCTCCATTGCTGCTGTAACACAGAAATTTCCCCACTGTGGCATCAATAAAGTACCTACTCTTCTTCCTATGTGCTTGAAAAACAAAGGGAATTTCTTCATATTTTAGAATTACAGGTGCATCTCAATAAATTAGAATAGCGTGGAAAAGTCCATTTATTTCAGTAATTCAACTCAAATAGTGAAGCTTTAAGAATGAATTCACAAATTGGCGATGTGACAAAAAATTTAATTTTAGTTCACTGGCTACGCCTTAAAATTCCCAACAACAAATACAAGAAAAAGTAATGGCACTGTTTGCAATTTCCTGGTTTTCTGCAGAATTTGGTGATGAAATGTGGTCTGATCTTCACCAAAGTCGCAAAAATCAATAAACACAATATTTCTAAGCTGATAAAACACAAACAGTCTTTATCGAACACACCCATTAAACATACAAAGTGATGGTGGAAAAAAAGCAATGGCAGGAATGGCCACAGTTACAGGAAGCACTTGCTTCCTGTAACTATGGATTAGACCTGCCCAACATTCAGGAGGGATTTTGCAGAATGCATCTGACACAGACCATCTTATCTCCTATTTTGTACTACATGCGTGAAAGGGCAATAGTGGAAAAAGTCCAGACCAGATTCTGTGGATATTGTCCAGAGTTCATGTATGAAAATGGTCTCTCTGATGACATACCTGTGTTGACCCCTCCAGTGAGAATCCAGGCCCCGGTAGTGACTGCAGCTTTGATGAGGCCCTTGCCCACCACCTGTTTGATGCGAGGGTGGAGCTCAAAGTTCTGAACTCCTCCATGGACAGAGATGAGGATCTTAGGAAGCTCCATATGCCACTCCTTCAGCATCAGCCGCAGGATGTGTTCCGGTGGTGAGTCGTGGGACAAACGAACATACTGCCCATGTTTGCAAGGACACAAGGAAAAGTATGTTCATGTTTACACACACATAAAAAGGAAGTTGGCACCTGGCCAACAGTGTTCCACATAACTATGGATCCACAAAATTAGGTTTGAGTTTGTAATTTTCAAAGATTTGGCTCACATATATGCAATTTAAAAGCAGGATTTTCTATTAAAACGTGAGGATCTCAATACTGTGCATCAGTAATAAACATAAAGGACAGACTTTTCCCATGTCAGTTATCAAGTCTCTGTCCTCCTACCTTGGCTCGGTACGAGTGAGACCCTCCCTGGAAGTTGATGACACCATAGGCGTCAGTGGGACTCGCCTCGGTGTGTTTTTCCACCGACCACTCCTCCAGCTCAGGTACCGACAGGTTGGCATTTTCACCCAGCTTCACATCCGAGTACTTCGTGGCCAAGCTGGCAGTGAAGCCAACATGCTGCCGCACCAGCCGCCCACAGCAGCACCTTCAGGGTGAACACCATCATTATAAGTGCTAGTACAATAAAATACTTAATTCTACAAATTAAATAATATAGTTAACGCTACATTATCATTATATTATACATTAAAGTTAAGCCATTATCCAAAAATTGTTTTCAAAAGCAAAACAAAAATATGGAGGAACAAACAGAGATACAAGAATGCCACACTTCATAAATATGAATATTAGTTTTTTTCTTTAGTTTCAATCTTTTAGCATATATGTAGCCATCAAGTCCACATTTATAACAGTTTCACAGGGTTCTCATTTCAAAGAGAGTTAACTGGAAACTCAGTTTTCCACCAACTCAAGGAGCTAACTTTAGCTTAATTAGCTAGCTAGCGACATCTGACACAATTTTCTGGCGACTGTTGTCGGTCCAGCTGACAAAACTGTCTGTTGCTGGCTTCAAATGAGAAGCCCACTTTTATCTACTGAGGTTGAGACATTATTAAAAAAAATTAAAAATAATTTCAAATTGTAAATTTATCTGTGTCAACTGCAAAATGTGCAGAGCAAGATCAGAAATCAGTATTTCAACATTTGAAACACCCAAAATTACAGTATATCAACATCATGATATTAAAAAGTACACAAACATTTTATCCCAACAACCAATCATTAAGGTCTGCCAAACTTTAAAAATAAAACTGACCTACAGTCTTGTGCCATCACAGTAATATCACTACAATAACCCAACTTACCTTTTTTTTCTAAACTCCTTTAATTACCCCTGTGGAGAAGCTGATTCCTGACACACAAAGCCTGGATGTAAAGTGTTTCCTGAAGAGGCACTGCTGTTCAGTTGAATTTCAGTGGAAAAAAAGAACCTGCCTGCAGGCTTAATGCCACAGTTATGCTCAACACACTGGACAATGTGCGCACAGAGAATAAACCCTTAACACCCTGTCAGCTAACAAAATGAGTCTGACAAAGACCACACAAACACTTACCGGACTAGCTGCTGGCAAATCTGGCATCCTGGAAGACATCTAGAAGGAATTTCACACAGACACATTCAGTCACTGATTTGAAAAGAAATAAATCCAGATCATGTAAATGTGATTGACATATGCTAAGGTATGAAGACAGTTACAATGGGCCGATCTCTCCTAGTGAGGAGGAAGTTCTCAGTAGCCAAAGCTGTTTGGGGACCTTAACAAGGGTCATCTGTCAGCTGGGCAGGCAGCCTGGTTAGACTTGCCTTTAACCAAGACAGAGTTACAAAACCTGCCAAGGGGACACTCACTTTGATCAAGTCACATAACAGGTCTTTGGCCTAGTGGTAAATGGGTTTATGCTCACTAACATTTCTGAATCATCTAGCAGCTGCACACACTGAAGTTAGGGGAGGTAAAGTCAGTGGCAAATGATTGATGTAAAAGAAAACACCGGAAAAAGAGTTGCCCAATATCATTGTGAGTTTACAAGAAGAAAGGAAGGAAACTAAGTTTTTAAAGGTGTAACTAAAAACGGAAATGGTTTACAAATGAACACAAAGACATGGTGACTATCCAGCAGCTGTACCTTCAATTTGGCTGTTTTGTGTGTGCTTCTCTTGCAAACACAGTACATTGTAAATGAGAGGACTATATAAAAAGCCTCAACATCCACATATATGAATACAAATATTTTTTTAGAATTTAAAAATGATAAAATTTATAGTTTAAAAAAAATATTACTGAAACAAATAAATGAGGAACGGGGGGAGGATGAGGACCCTTTACTGTGGTATGCCAAATTGTGGTCAGGTGTGTTGCTTTAATTTTTCTTGAAATGTGTCCAGCATTTGATTAGAGTCCACCTGTGGCAATTTTAAGTGATTGGACATATTCTAAAACGGCACACACCTGTGTGTATGAGGTCCCACAACTCAGACTGCATTAACAGGACATAAAGGAACTCTCTGTAGGTCTCTGTGATCAAACTGTGGTGAAGCATAGGACAGCACAAGGGTATAAAACCATCTGCAAAGCTTTAAATGATCCCAGGAGAACAGTGGCCTCAATAATTGTGTAATGGAAGAAGTTCTGAACCACTGGTACTCTTCCTAGGGGGGCTGTCCAGCCAGACTGTGTAACCAGGTAAGAAGGACCTTGATCAGGGATCAAGAACTCAACAGTTAACTCTAACAGTAGCTCCATACACACTGGTCTGGTCTGATGAGACAAATATTTAACTCTTTGGGCAGAACTTCAAACATCTGTCTAGTGAACAACACAAACTGCTCATCACCTAAAACCATCCCTATTGTGAAGCATGGTGGTGGCACCATCATGGTATGAGGGGCTTCTCAGCAGCAGTGACAGCGACTGTCCTTGAACGGCCCATCCAAAGTCCAGACTTAAACCCCAGAGAACATCTGTAGAGAGCCCTGAAGATGGTAGTTCACAGGCATTTCCTATCTAACCTGAAGGAGATTGGCAGGATCCGTCAGGACGAATGGGCAACTGCCAAAACCAACCGTGCAAAGCTTGTACTTACACAAGAAGCATCAGAGCTATAATTGCTACCAAAGGATCTTCTAGAGGCACCCCGAAAGTTGAGTGGTTTCAGCAGTGCACCATGCACATATGCACATTGTGTGGACGACACTGGCAACTCAAGACTGACTGCAACTTTTACTGCAGGGCTCGCCGCCTCTTTTTTCTCTGCGTCCCCCATTTCCTAGACTGCCTCGCTGTGACTCACTGAGCAATCAAAGGGCTTTCTACAAAGTGCTGAATTAAGGTTCTGAATACTTTCGTATATAAGAAATGTCTGGTTTTGATTTTCAATAAATAAGATTTCTAAAAAATGTTGTCATTATGTGTTACTGAGTGTAAATTAAAGGGGAAACAGCAATTTTGTCATAAAATGTATTTGTCAATTTAAATACAATGCAACAGAGTGTGCAAAAAAGTGAAGGGGTCTGAATACTCTGTGAAGCCACTGTCATATGATACACAGGTTACTCATTGGTCATTCCACCTCTGTAATGCTGTAAATATAGTGACAGACATAAGCATTAAAATTATGTGGAAACTGACTCATTTACTCTTTGCAGACTAGTGGTTAAGGCTTGGGCTTACTTTTACACACCCACCATACAATTACACCTTTGCACCACAGAGCACACTACAGACCATCTCAGCACATACCTGTGGGGGTCTTTTGACACTGGAAGTATGTACACACATTCCCTCTTGGTGAAAGTGCTTTCTATCCAGGGTTTCTGGGACTGTGAACAAAGAGAACAAAAGTTAAGAGCAGTGAAGGGCAACTCGTGTTCATCATGTTTGTTTGAATGAATTCAAGGCGCAAAGTAAATTGTCCTCTGAGAATGTTAAAAACAAGTGTGTGAGCGTCTGTACAAACAGTGCTGACATTATAACCATTGTAGCTTCAGAAAGAACAGTAAAGCTAATTGCTTCAGTCAAAAGAAATTTCTTTGTAAATAAAAAAACTCCAAACACCCTAAAGGGGAAAAGGGTGTTTGTAACCACAATTAATCATATGAAAATCAAACAGATTTAAGTTTAAGTAAATAAAAACTAAAAATTCAACATAATATATACTGTATATATGACAACTGCAATTCTGGAGACATCAGCTACAGTTGTCTCTCGGTGCTGTAAGCTGCAATAAAATAATGTCGTTCTAAATCACAGTGTTATCAAAGCTTGGACTTAGTGCATGTCACAGGAATTTTCAATTAAAGCCTCATTCCTCACTATTCCCCCAGAACAGTTCAGACGGACCCACAAGAGATTAGCAACATTAATCCCTCTCAGCACAGAGAAGGAAACTTGCAAACACCATCACCTGCTTTACGCTAAAGCTTTTCAACTTTTCATAAAACACAAACAACAGTATTAAGACAACCAGTGCAACATATGTTTAGAACCAGGCATTTACCCAACTCGTCATTCTCTGCTGGAGCTGGGTTAAAATGATCCTCACCAGTCAGTGTTTGTATGTAGATAAATAGAAAGGTAAGTGAAAATTGCTGTTACTGTTATCCCAAGTTCCATATCTGGAATTTAATGTATCAATTTATTTCTGAAAATACCCAGAAAGAAATCTCTGTTGCCCAGAGTCCCAAACATAGCGCCTCAGGTTCTTGGCAGTCTATGACAAATGGTAATTTTTTCAAAAACATATTAAAAATAAAAAATAAAAAACATGTCACCCACTGCTTGACCAGTGACACCAAGTCTCTGAGGTTGTACCTGGATGTCGTCCTCTTCATCTCTGTGTTTAAGAGCTTTGTACAGGAACATACCAAGGCTCCTTCATGCATCTCCTGGACAAACCACAGTCACCACCGCATCCCCTGGGCACTGGATCATCAGCAACCAATCACTATACTCTCAGTCTCCGTGTGTCTGAAGATCTCCAAGCAATTTCCATACAGTGCTCAGTCTACAACACCGCTGTTACCATACAGATCCGGCCTGAGTTAAAAGTTAAGCGGTCAGCAAGAAGCTGCAGCCATCAAACTCCGTTCACTGTTAATCTGTAAAAAGCCACTGAGGGGGCAGATGAATGCGTCTGAGACCAACTAGATATTATACCTACGCTGGGGGAAAAGAGATGAGGGGGGTGTAAAAGAGGATTAGTGGATAGGCAGTGGCCTCAGTGATATATACCTAGTTGTCTACTGAAGACACACCACCAGCTGTGATTCATTCAGTACACACAAAACCTCTCCCAACAACAGAGACCAAGCACTTTTGCTTTAGGGGGCTGCCTTTATTTTGAAACTAATCTTCAGAATAATGAGAGCAGTAACATTATGTTTTACCAGACTGGCCAGTAAAGCTCTTTTCACATATGGATGCCACAGCATGGATTCACATATCTGTGTAAGGCAATGGTTTAGGTCTTTTGGGAAATATTTTTACACTGGGTCTGTCCACACATCATAAGCAATTTTGACAGATTCCAATTTTTTCTAGTCTCACACACTGCTGGAGAACACTGGTAACTTGCCATTATGTCAAATCTCAGAAAGGTGGTTTAAAGAATGTAATTCAGACCCAACTTTAGCATCTAAATGGTTTTTAGACTGACCTATGATTCCCACCACTGACACCAGGTTTTGTGTCTTTCATTTTGCTGAAATTTTATCCTACACACAATGAACACGCCTGTAAGTTTAAATGGGGCCTGGATGATGATTGTGATGGTTTATGCAGGTCTAAATTATTATCTCTGTAGTGGAAACAATCATCACTTTCAATACAGATAAGCTTCGTCTTTAACTCCTGAGTTAACCACAGTATAGGAAAACTTTCAATTAACAAAACTACTTATTTACAGGTGAAAACAAAGGTTACTGCACTTGCAAGGTTGGTAACAGCCCCTAACTGCACATATGCACAGCTATAATTTCAAAATAAATTAATTCTTTGAGAAAATGTATTTTCTTAAAAAAAAAAAAAGTTCAACATCTTGCAAAATGTGCTTATTTATTTTTTACACAAAGTTAGAGGAGAAGATCACATTATATTAGTCCCTTTAACATGAGGCTAGAGCCGGGAGACATTATCTTAGCTTAGCATAACTGGAAATGGGGAAACAATGAGCCTGGATCTTCAAAAAAATCCACCTAACAGCACCACAAAAGCTGTAAAACCTGTTGACAGAGCTAGGCTAGCCATTTCCCATCAGCTAACCATCACCTGGCTCCATGCATTAGGCTGGTTTAATCTTTTCATCAAATTCACTGCAAGAAAGCAAATGCGCATAATGTAAATCCCAAAAGGTTGAACTATTCCTTTAATTTTCTGTATTGGAGGCAGGCATTAGCTTTCAAAACCAACAGTCTGATGAACATCTGACAAGTCTACATCTTGTACCGCATCATTTCCTTAGTACTAAATGGTACACTACACTTGGTTTTGTACAGTATAATACCGAAATAATCAACACTACAACAATGAAGATGTGAACATAGTGTACACTTTATAATACTGTTTAATGACAATACAGCCAGTGACATAGCAGGCTGATTAACATGGGTTTGATTTTGGGGTGCCAGATAGTGAGTACTCATTAAGCAATATACATAAAAACTACTGGTACAGCTCCACGTGTTAAGTTCATACAACTTACAGTACTTTATGGCCCACTTATGCTATCAACTTATACTGCCTTTGAATGATACTACAGGTCACTGAGTCTTCACCTAGTGACAGATGTGTGACACACCCTGCAACTGCACTGTGGAAGAGTGCTTTCAGCAAAAGTGCTGAAGTTATCTCGATCCAATAAAGTGTTAATAAGGCAGATGAAGCAAGACTGTGCTCTTCTAACCTGTAACCATGGCACCTGAGAATGTCAGACAAGAAAAGACTTGAACGTTTTGGAGCCCCTGCCAAAAGCACACATACACTCACTTCCCACATCCTCGCTCCCTCCCTCATTCTCTCTGACGTCTATCTTTGAGCTCCAGGTTTTATGATTCCTCTGTTCATTCGGGAAATATAAGCCCACCCCTTTTCTAGTTGCTCAGCTGAACAATGTCCAAATGCTCTGAGTTTCTTTAAGAGTAAACATGCAAGTTTGTGCGGGCACATTTATCTGCACCAACCTCGGTTTGTGGGAGTGAATGCATTTGTATGGAGAAATAAAGTTCACATACTGTTACTCTATCTTCCCACTGTCAGCAACCAACCCACAAAAACACACAATGTGAACTCAGAAAGCTTTCCAGCTGAGCTCTTTCTTGCCCCTCCTTTTTCTTCCCAACAATGTATTAAGGCTGACCGGTCAACTCATCATTCCCCTGGATCTGCCTGACGTAACACAGGGTGAGATAACATCTGGTTTGACATCTCTGTTACCCATTAGAAAGAGTGGAGGCTATGAGGTCAGTGCTTTAGTGTGAGAGGCAGCCAACAGAGCAGTGACTCTCAAAACAAGCAGAAAAAAAAAAACTAAATAAATGAGCCGTTTTATTTTTTTCCACTGACCTTTGTTTAAATTGGTATCTAAGGCTATGTTTAGACAATATGCTGAAGTGAGTTAAATCAATTTTTTTTTTTACTGAGAACTGATCTTTTTTCAGATGTGTGACCAAACCAAATCAGAATTTTCCAAATCAGATCTGGGTCATGTGGTCCTAGATCTGATTCATTTCTAATCTCTAAAGCCCCTTTTCCACTGTCTGGTACTGGCTTGACTCGACTCGCCTCATTTATTTTTCCATCAGTCAAATGTTGGGGATAGTATCTGGTACCTGGTACTATTTTTGCTATCACCTCCATCGAGGATCCAAGCGAGCAGAGGTGATACCAAATGGTGACATGTAAACACTGCAGACTAGCGATTGCCAGAGATATTGTGTCATTAACGTGCAGGACGTCCTGAAACAAAGAAAGCACCATTTTAAAAGGCAACGTTATTTAACGTTAACTGTTACTTCACTGTACGAACTCAAAACAGCCATATACCGAGAATCGAGAACAACATACCTTCGATGTCCTCCGCTGTTACTATGTCAGCTGCCGACGACATTACAGCAGTGTAATGCAGTGTTGCTATGACAACCAGCTACACTAAGAGGGAGCCATCTGCAGTGGAAAACCAAGCACCCGTTGGCAAAAGCGAGTAGAGTTGAGTTGAGCCGGTACCAGGCAATGGAAAAGGGGCTTAACTATGCAATCACTGTCAAAATAGTCAGATCAGAAATCATGTGGTTTTTTTTTTTTTTTTGTCTCCTGCTTCTGCGCATATTGCCCGTCATCATCATTCAGTGTCAGCCACTCACACGGAGATTTAAAAAAAAAAAAGGACAGGACATTTGACTTTGGTTCAACATTTATACAGAAGTTCCTGGTCAAGCCAAACTAGAAGGAACACAAATGACAGCTATTTTTGTGTGCACGCAACAACTCGCATTTCAGTTAAATCTGCACACGCATGGCCGTTTAGGAACTCAGTAGTGTTCACACCGGAGCTGGATACATGTCACATGAATGTGAACCATGAACAGAAAAGGGTTAGATCTGACAAAAAGATCAGAACTGAGCTGCAATGTGAACGTAGCGAAAGTGCACTAGCATTGTTTCTATTATTTTATATAATGTAGATTAATACATAAAAAAATATGTATGAAATGATCTAGTAAGCAAAAATAAATAATTATAGCTCATATTATAGATTTCTCAAAACCAGCTTGCTGAGAGAATGTCACAAGCGTGCAAAGCTGTTATCAGAACAACCAGTGGATACTTTAAAGAACTGAAATTTTAAAACATATTGCTTTTTTTTTATACATTATAGTTTTGAACATCAGTTCCTCCTCCATTTTCTTTGTTGTCTGTCAGGTTCTCTACAATTGGACGCATCGCGGTGTCATCACAGAGTGCTGTGCCCAAGTTAAACTTTTTTTTTCCAGCTCAGCGCACAGAGACGGCACGTGTGACCTTGTGCTGCGCTCAGCTCGGGGCAGCACAGATATTTTCTTGCGCCATGCAACACACAGAAATGAATTAGTTCGATAGCAGAGCGCAGCGCCCACAGTGTCCTACCTGAAAGCCCCTTTAGTGTTAAATCAATTCAGCATTCCTACTGGCAGTGAGTGCAAACAAAATAAAAGCCCGTAAAGGTGTGTAGTTCTTGGGAGAGTTTCCCAGTGGTGTAATCCCTAAAACTAAGTCCCTAGAACTGTTTGGTCTGAAAGTGCCTTATCTTTTTGATGGCTCAAAGTTGGATCAAAACCCAGACCAGCCTTATCAATTTCAATCCTTGCCCCAGGTTGGCTGTTCTGTGATCTAAGCCTATAAAACAATATTAAATGGAAGGAAAGAGCTCATTATAACCTTTAGATAAGATTCTTGGAAGGCTGCCAACAGAAGTAAAATTTGTTCATACAGTCATGAGACTAAAGTGTGACAACTTTCACACTTGTGCCCCCAGGGCATAGCTCTGGGGCACTGTATAGCACGGGCTCTGAGCAGCTGAGTAACGCAAAGCATGTGAGGACTTTTCCTCTCAACATCTGGCACTCATGGTTATGTGAGCCTATGATAACTCAGGTTCAAACTGTCCAAGGTTAGGAGATACTCTAGCAGCAAGGACAATGTCAAGTTGCTCCTTCGAAACCTTTCTGCTTAAAGAACAAAGTGATGGACTACTACCAAAGTAGAAACATGCATGTCTCTCATTGCACATATTATACAATAACTGCAACATAAACACAAGATCTGCCGTTATGATGAGTACTCCCTCCAATAACCTTTATGTGGCTATAAGCACATGGAAACAGTGGAAAGCATAAGGTTAGGGGCAACATGACTCCATTCACAAAAATAACTAACCGAAACTGTGACCAGTTTTTTTAGAAACCCGGGAGCAGGGCCAGAGGAAACACTTCAGTCATCTTCAAAGGGGTTTCTGTGTGTGATGCAAACCGATTAGACCTCAGAGAGGCCTGTCACAGTCACTCTGCAGACTGAAACAGGCAAGCATCCCCACACACTCCATACACAAACACACTCTAGTAGGGCTAGAGTCTATTCTGGAGCAAACAAAGTGATGCAAGAGTATTTTTTTTTCCAGCTCACAAGGCCCTAAAGCCTCAGCTGATGACCACTACAACCATCCACCATTACACAAAAGTCTGTAACTTGTAATAATAAAGCTCTATTAGGCTACCAATTGGTGATAGAGATCAAATTGTATCAGCTACTCTGAAGAACCAGCATTAGTTCAATGGGGGGGGGGGCATGATCAATAGTGAGACCAATACTGTAATGGGAGATTTGATATAATCTGTGCCTTAAGTAATGACTTTTTCCTCATCTTGCAGGCAATACAGATGCCATCCACTAAATAAATCTGTTTGCTTTGAGCTAATAAATGCCACAGTGTGCCCATTACAGTGCCAACAATCTAAACTTGGGTTTACAGCATGATGATATAAACCTGTCTAAGGTCAGATATTTGCCAAACTGTTTATACTGTGGCAACCTCTCCTTTCAATATTTCATGGTGTTGCAAATGTATGAGCAGGGCTGCTACTGTATAAGGCAAGAGTAAAATGAATTGCCACAAAATGTACTACACACAATATAAAATTCCATATGATGAAATAAATTTTCATGGACCATGACAGAAAATGGTGACCATGTCTCTTAATCTGAGCTATCACATGAACATGAACAACGTGTTTGTCGCGAAGATGATGGAACATGACAAGTTAGTCAGACAAATGCTGAGGCAAATCTTCAGCAGGCCTGAAACATTTAACTCTCACCAAATAGCTAACGGCCATGCGTGGGCGTTCAGAGGTCCAGTAGAGGTCTGAGATAATAAATACACTACTTCACCATAACTTTACTTTTCCCAACGCTGTTAGAGAAAAGCACTCCGCTAAGCGGACTTGGCAACCCATCGAGGTGGAACCGACTTGTTACTGGCAATGACATATGAGACAGCTGCCAGTGCAATGTGTCTTAAACAAGTGCTAGATGCTCTGAAATGCACTTATTTATCTGTTCAGCATCTGAATGACAGGCTGCCTGATGAAGAGAAGCGCTGTTTTGCTCTTTTGGCACTGAAAACCGGTGCTAACATCAGCCAGCTACCGTAGCTAGTTAGCTTAGGTTAAGTGCCTAACAGCGCTAGCGAGCTAGCTATTTAGCCTGCTAACATTACGCCTTGTGTGATTTGGGGTATTTCTTTCTAGACGCTGTGTCACCGTATACACAGTACTTATTACGTCCGAGTCATTGTTTTAGCTGACAGTCACCAGACACAGCAAACACCACCGGTACATCGGCTGGGTGTCTGACAAACAGGAGGCAGCATGCACGGGGGGA